CTCTTTTTTTTTTCTTTCTTATTTTCGGTTTATCTTGTTAGATTCTTGAAAAGTAATTAGAAAACCTAATGTAGTTTATAGTTTGATTCTACTTGTTTATACAAATTTCATGGCTTTCTAAAAAATTAAAAAAATATAAGAAAAAAAGGTTGAAGAGGGAGTCTGCGAGAGAGGGAGAGAGGGAGAGAGGAAGAAACAAAGATGGCTAGGTTTTTTACCTAAATTTAGATAAAAGTAGTATATATAAGAGAAAATATGGACAAATCGTGTGGAGGCCCTTTAAATTTCTGCCGTATTTTACATTCTGGCCACCAAACTACTGCGTAAAACCATACTTAGGCCCATGTACACTTAAGCCTTTTTATAAACTGGTCACTAAATTGTTTGTGTAAAATTACGTTAAATCCTTAATACATTACCGTGTCTCACGTTTTAATCCCCGGATCTCTTTATTTTATTTATTTAATTTTCGGCACTTTAGTTTCGTTAATTTTAATTTGATCACTAAATATGCTATTTTTTTTATTTCTGATTTGGGTATTTTACTTTCTTTTCTTTTTATTTTTGTCACTCACTTATTAATACTCTAACATTTAAATATAATGCGATTTATTTCCTTTATTTTTTTTCATCATTCGTAAGTTTTTAGTACTTTATTTTTATGCCCTTTAATTTTTCAATATTTTATTTCAATCATTTTCCAGTTTTTTTTAAATTTTTCTGTATTTACTTTTAAATATCTTAACTTATATTTTATTGTTAAAAAAATATGAAATAAGGTCTTTTGTGAGGGGAATCTATGGAAAAGTCTCCTAACTATAAAGGAAGCGCATTTTCAAGGATTGTTCGTACAAAATGACACATTTTCTCTTATAAAAATGATTATGATATTTTTATTCTATAAAATATATTCTGAGCTATTTAATCTTTTGATCCACCGTATTTCTTATTTAAGTCATTTTTGAAATTGACACTTAAATAAATTAGAATAAATAAAAGGATCATGATTTAAATATATTTTCGAAGTTTGTAATTCCCAATATTTAAACAACATATAATCATTTAGGTACCAAAATTTGGGCGTTGTGGAGGTGTTCACCCTTCCCGCACGTAATCAACTCCCGAACTCTTAAAAATGAATCTTTGGTAAGACGCAGACCATTTTTGTCGTTGAAGGTTTCCAATCTATCTAACTTAAAGGTTGGTGGCGACTCCAAAATCAAATTATTTTCAAAATCAGATTTCATCGTTTTCCCCCAAAAATTAAATTTTTAAAGTCTAACGGATCCCCCACGAAGACGTTATAACAGTTTGCCGACTCCACTGGGGACGCTTAGAGAGTCAAGCCATAAACGATTATACGTTGATTTTATTTTTGGGAATGAAAAACTTAAATTGTATTTTATTTATGATCCTTTTATTTATTTTGAATTTCAACATTACATGCATTATTTTTATCTTTAACTAATTGATTTTTTATTTTAAGTGATCTTCAGATTTGAACAGTTTTTTTGGGACTTGTGAAAGAATTGTTTTTGGTCATATTTTAAAGGTTTGTGAGTTTCTCCTCACACACGACACGTGCATTTACATACCATAAGCTCACTTACGAGCTTTGTCCCTTTTAAGTTGAGGTGAAAGCTTAGCTTACGTGAGATAATTTGTTTCTCCACACGGGTTTTAGCAAGTAACCTTTGGGGTTCATATACCTTATGTTTACGTGAGATAAATTGTTTCTCCGCATTGACATAGGGAATGTATCCTCTCGAATTGAACTCGATCCGCTTGAGCCTGTAATGTGTCAGGATTTAGGGTTTGGCAGCCTAAGGAGGCACCAACAAGGACAATTCGAGTACCTTTTTCTCATAGTGAGCCCTACGAACTCATCCCGATAAAATTCATTCAGAACCTTTGTCCATCAGTAGGTACCCAAAATAAGTATACGCAAAGGAGAAACGACGCTAAACCTTCTTTTTTTCTTTACTCGCAATATTTTATTTTCTGAATAAAGCATGTGAACTAGAAGAGCATGTGGGTAGGTGTTGCAATTACCTTTCAATAATATTTGCTTGATATTTGAATTCTTTTATACTGACACATTTTCTATGTTTAATGGTTTATTATTTGGCATTTTTTTGCATGATCATCATAAATAAAAGAAAGGTGTTGATTAACCAAGTAATCATCATAGTAGAAGAGCGACCATTAAAATGGAAAAGAGTTTTCATAACAAGGAAGAACTTAATCTGGCTGTTCGAGTTTGGTCTGAAGAAACACAAAGGGCGAAAGGAGACAGTTTGCCTGGAGATTATGTATCACATATGTCCACAAATGTAAATGTCACTCTCAAGCAGAATGATCTACAAGAACTGATAGAGATTTGGGAGAGTTGGAAAGTAGCTACCTGGGAGAGTTGGAAAGTAGCTACCAAAGAGAAGTTCCACAAGAAATATGGTGACATAGCCTATCTACTCTATGTAAAGATAGATGAACCGTTGCTTAAAGTTCTGGTTCGATTCTGGAACCCTACATACATCTGCTTCACTTTCAACATACAAGATTTGACACCGATAATAGAAGAGTATACAACTCTATTTAACTTCGAGAGCCTTCAGGTGGATATGATTTATTCTAGACCTCCAAAAGTCCAATCCTTTAAAAGTAAACTTGTAAAGATTACTGGTAAAGGTGAAAATTGGATAGTAGAGCACATCCAACAGAAAGGATAAAGCGAATGTTTTCAGTGGCATTGTCTCAAGAAGGTGATACTCGAGCATATAGATGAAGATAAGAGATTAGACACGTTTGCTCTGGTTGTATATGGTCTAATGATATTCCTGAAGACCTTGTTCCACGTGGAGGTTACTGTTGCAGATTTCTTTGACATATTGGAGAAAGGTATAAATCTGGCACCAGCTATTTTGGCAGAGACCTTCCGATCCTTAAATAATTATCGTAGACTGGAGGGGGTCGATTTATAGGATGCTCCCAACTACTCACTGTCTGGATTCGTAGCCACTTCTGGAAGGAAGTGAAAATGTCTTATCACCATTTCTCCACCATGTATTCACATTTGAAAGAATTTCTTAGCAAGGAGTGGCCAGAGGGGTTACCAAGGAGAAGATGGATATCAGCTTTCAGTAATCTACAAGATCGAGACATCGCTTGGTGTGTTCCTTGGCTAGGATATACTAGCATTTTATTCAGATGTGGAGATCTTGACCACGTTCCGTTGCTAGGATTATGGGGAGGAGTCAACTATGCCCCGTTGATGGTTCTCAGATAGTATAAGGCACGCCAATTTGTCCCAGTTACGAGTGGTTTAAATAAGTCTGAAATCACATACCATGGAGACCACTACAAGAAGAAAGCACGTGATTTATCTCTTACCTGGAAAAGAACCTTTCGAATAAAAGTTGTGGTCGGGGATGTTATGTACACTCCAGACTATGAGGCTTGGAGGTTTGCAAGAAGAAACGAAAATATCCCATTTCCAGTTCAAGGAGAAGTTATTCCATGGGAAGAACATATCAAGGTGGTACCCTCACAAGCAGAGATTCTCACTACTGAATTTGAAGCTGAAAAGAATAAATGGGACAAGGCAATGGAAGAGGTCAAACAAGAGAATTTCATGTTAGATCTTGATAGAGGTCTCCATGCCAAACAATGTGAGTTGTTGAAGAAAGATAAAGAGAATGTTAATCTTGAACTGGCTGACCTAAAAAGAGATTATCGCAACTTACAAAAGGCAAAGAAATTATATGGATCTAGCAAGACATCACAACAGTGGGCTAAAGAGTTAGCAATTGAGAAGCGACGTGTTCAGAGTCTAGAGGCCGAGAACAAATGCCAACTTAGGAGAATTAAAGCTGAAAAGAAATTACGGGACAAATACAAAGCTGAAAAAAGAGAAGTGACTAAGCAACTTAAGATTGAAAGTCGTAGAGCTGAGAAATGGAAAGCTGAGAAAGAAACTAGCTTGAAGGAGTGGGAAGTAGAAAAACATCGAGTTCTTGGTTTTGAAACTGAAATGAATAGTATGCTGGAAGAACTCGAGGCTAGAGATCAGAGGATCCAAGAATTAGAGAAAGCAAGAGAGCAAAAGAAAGAGGAAGTATGAACTGAGAGGCAGGGGTAGAACCGAATTCTCGAAAGGAAATAGGCCAAAATTGGGTCTTGGTTGCAAAGATTCCAAACAAAAAGCAGACGAGTAGAATAATTAACCAAAAAAATGGAAGATCTACAGACCAGCCTTGAAGGAGAATTGAATCGGTCTTAAGTTATGAATAGTGAACTCAAAGACCATGCTACGCACCTCGAGGAGTCCTTACTTCAAGTTCAAGTACCACCCGGGTCAATGAACTTAAGGCTTTCTCGTGAGGAGAATAAGTTTTTGCGAGAATAAGTCAGAGGACTAGAGGGTGAGCTTCAGCGCTGTCGAGTACACATCGCCAACCTAGAAAGAAAAATCACTCGTATCAATGATGGGTGGAAGGATACGTATAAGCACCACCGGATGTTGGTTGAGGAACGTGAAGCCATGATGGGTGAAGCAATAGCACAAATGAGCGAGGATGCTCACTACACACAAGAGCTTGCCAACAGAGCCGAAGTCATCCTACTTCGCACTAGTTTATCTTCCGAGTATGGAGAGAAAGTTGTTGAGATCATGACGGAGATCATGGAACTAAGTAGAAGAGCCAAACCGTATTTGTAGATTGATCTTTATTGTAATGATGAAAACTCTTTTGGAAGAATGGAACTTTTTCTTAGAATAATTACTTTTGGAAATCGATACCTTTTGCATTTGCATTTTGGCATTCACATATTAATTTTCTAAATATTTCATGTGCATAAAAAATAACCATAAATATATTATTTTATGAACATTTATTTTGAAGAGAGAAAACACCCTGGAAACCGATAAAAACCAGTCCGAAGCCACACATCCGCATAATACCAGAAGTAAGACTAAGAAAATGGATGCTAAACTCGAGTAAATGCAAAAGGAATTTCAAGAAAAGATTTTGAAGGTGAAACAAGAATGGAAGGCCAAGATGGAGCAGTCACAAAAATCCGCCGTTAATCGCATAATGCGAAACCAATCCAACATGGTGAATGATATCGTGGCCAAATTATCTGGAATGACCAGCATGGAAGGAAAAGAACAAAATACCGCAGTAGCCGAGACTTCTGAATATGCACCAGTACAGTCTGGTCCTAGATTAGTTATTTCATCTGAAAAGCTCACTAGACATCCAACAGGTTCCTCTATTACTAAAATTCAAATGGCTGTCACAAACCCTCAGAACAACCTGAACGAATACAATGTACCAGATCTTAATGAGATCGAGAAAATGAAGAATCAAGTGCCTGGACATCTAAAAGATTGGTGCAAAGATTTCTTTAAGAAGATGGGTGGGCAAGACTCCCAGGAAGGGATAGACGCGGTAGAGCTAAGTTTGGTACCCGACTTGGTTTTACCACCTAAGTTTAAGATGCATGAGTTCGAGAAGTATGAAGGAAAGACATGTCCCAGTGCACATCTAACAATGTTCTGTAGAAAGATGACCGGCTTCGTTAGAGACGATAGTCTCCTGATATATTACTTTCAAGCAAGTCTGACAGAATCTGCCGCAAGATGGTACAACCAATTGACCCAGGCTAAAATAAGATCTTGGAAAGATCTAGCCAATGCCTTCAAAGAGCAATATCAATATGTCACCGACATGATGCCATATAGGGTTACTCTTGAAAATATGGAGATGAAAAACAACGAGAGCTTCCGCCAATATGTGCAACACTGGAGGGATATTGCTGCCCAGGTCCACCCCCTATTGGTTAAAAGAGAGTTCATAACCATGTTCATTCATACACTAAAATCCCCTTATATTGATCATATGTTGGGGGTAGCCACGAAATGTTTCTCGGACATAGTTATGTGTGGGGAAATGATTGAGAGGGCATTGAAGAAAGGCCAAATTATTGGTGGCCAAAACTCATTAAAGAAACCCTTTGTAAAGAAGAATGAAGGAGAAGTAAACAATGTGAACTTCTCAATAAATAAACCGAAAGCTGGAAATTTTACAACCAAGCGTGAAAACAATAATGAAATAATAACTTTCACACCTATCCCGATGACATACAATGAACTTTTCCAAGGGTTAGTCAAGTCACATGTGGTGTCACCAAGATATGTGGATCCGTTGGAACCGCCTTTCCCTAAGTGGTATAACGAGAATGAAGCATGTGAATATCACACCAATACCCAGGGACACACAATCGAGAAATACATTGCTTTCAAAATGTTGGTCGAAGATTTGATCAGGAGAAAGATAGTGTCTTTTCATGACTCAGAGGCACCATGTGTTGCCGCAAACCCACTCTCAAATCACCAAAATCAGGGAGTTAATGCTATCAATGAAGGTCGTAAGGTCAAAGAAAACATTGAAGAAGTAAAGACACTGTTAAAATGGGTGTATGAACAGATGATCATGAGATGATTATTGAGTCCAAATAAAGGATCAGTAGGGCAGAAATAAAAAAATCACTGTGAATACCATTGTGATAATGGCCATCAGATCCAAGATTGCCATGAATTCAAAAATATAATACAGAAGCTTATGGATGAGAAGGAAATGCAATTATTTGAAGAAGAATCGAAAAAGAATGAAGGAGACGTTCATGCCTCCGAGGACAATTCAGAAAATATTGACACAAAGATGAAAAACCCGGTTTTGGTTATATCTAAGCCAATATACGAGGTGAACAAGGGGAAGGCAGTACCGAAAGTAGTGATAAAAACACCAGTACCATTTGCCTACAAAGACAATAGAAGTGTTCCATGGAGTTACACATTTTAAATTACCACTCCCAAGCACAAGGAATGCGAAGTTGATGACGTTGGAGGTTTCACTCAAAGTGGCAGATGTTATGCTCGCCGAACAGAAAAGGCTAGAACTATTGTAATCAATGAGAATGAAGAAAATATGAATGAACCTATTAAAATTGAGGAGGCCCAAGAGTTTCTAAAAATTTTGAAGCACAGTGAATATAACATTGTGGAACAACTCTATAAGACTCCTGCATGTATCTCAATATTATCTCTTCTTCTGCACTCAAAGGTACACCGAAATACGTTATTGAAGGTATTGAATGAGACCTTCATAGCCAAGGACATACCAGTGGAACGCTTAGATAGGTTGATGGGCAACATCAATGTCGACAATTTTATCTATTTTAATGATGATGAAATACCCGAGGATGGTAAAGGTAGATGTAAGGCACTGCTTATAACCGTTCACTGTAAAGGGGTTATCATATCTGGAGTCTTAATAGACAATGGATCAGCATTGAATGTCATGCCCTGGGTAACTTTGAATCGGCTTCCAGTAGATACCTCACACATGAAAGTTTGTGGCAATACTATCCGAGCATTTGATGGCACATAAAGGAGCATCATGGGAAAGATCACAATCTCTTTGAGGGTAGGTCTTGCAACATTCGAGGTAGAATTCATAGTCATGGACATTCACCTGAATTATAATTGCCTACTTGGAAGACCATGGATACATATGGCTGGAGCGGTTCCCTCTTCACTGCACCAGAAACATAGATTTATCATGGAAGAGACTTTGATAACCATCAAAGATGAAGAGAGAATCATAGCCTCTATCACCACTGATATGCCATTTATAGAGGTAAATAAAAGTATACTCGAGTCGTCCTTCCAATCCCTAGAGTTCGTCAACGCCACCTTTGTCCCCAAAAGAAAGAAATTTCCATATCCCCAACTCTCAAAGAATACTAAGATGCATTTGAAGGAAACTTTAGCCTGAGGAGCTATAGTTGGGAAAGGATTGGGAAAGGAGCTGCAAGGAGTCACCAAGGGATTGAGCCTCATACCTAAGAGAAATTGTTTCTGGATAGGATACAAACCTACCTATCAATACAGGGTTAAAGATGCCCAAAAGCTCAGGGACAGAAAGAAGGCCAGAGCATATGGCCAAGATGCCTTCGGGGAACCTATCATCATACCACTCATCACTCAAATATTCACATCTGGGGTTTTGTGATAAAGGAACTGGAAGTTCCATGGATTGAGGAAGGAGCTACTGAAGTTGAAACACTGATGGAAGATCTCAGCATCAACGCTATAACAAATGACACTAGTAGGGAGTGCTCTCTGGCATTGATTCATCCATGCCCTCCTGGATATGTTCTGAACAATTATACTGTTGAGGAGCTCCCTGTATTTTTCAAACAAATCTCAGAGTAATGTATGATAACAACCTTGTTACTTTAGCCCGAAAGTAATAGGGATCCTTTGTTAGGGCGTACTATCATTAATCCTTATTTTAATAAAATGATGCATTTTTTTCATTCTTTCCACGGAAAACATTTATTTTGTCTTTATGATAGCCATTAGTCATTGAAATTATAAAAAAAAATATTCTTATCTCTAGCCCAAACATATTCATCTCCCTTTGCAGGTCTCCAGATATCAATTGCACGAATAATAACGTTTCTGAACCAAGAGTTGATTTTGAAAATGATATATGTCTAGAGGAATCCTAGGGTTATAAGGATGATGAGGAATGCGAGTTAAATCCTGAACTTATTTGGTTGATTGAGCAAGAAAGAAATCAGATTTTACCCCATTAAGAAAAGACTGAGACAGTAAATTTGGGGACTAAGGATTATAAGAAGAAGGTCAAGATTGGTACTTCATTCTCAGCAGAAACAAGATCGGATCTTATACATCTCTTGCATGAATTCAAATATATGTTTGCATGGTCTTATCAAGATATGCCAGGTTTGGATAATGACATTGTGGTACACAGGCTTCCAATAAAGCCATAATACAAGCCAATTCAGCAAAAGCTTCAGAGAATGAGACCAGATATGTTGCTAAAAATAAAAGATGAGGTGAAGAAACAATTTGATGCTGGATTCCTACAAGTGTCCAAATACCCCAAGTGGGTAGCAAATATTGTGCCGGTTCCAAAGAATGATGGAAAGGTCCGAATGTTTGTTGACTACCGAGATCTTAATCGTGCAAGTCCTAAAGATAATTTCCTGCTCCCTCACATCGATACATTGATTGATAATATCGCATGTCACGTTTTCTTCTCATTTATGGATGGCTTCTCAGGATATAACCAAATCAAAATGAATCCGGACGATATGGAAAAAACCACATTTGTTATCATGTGGGGCACATTTTGCTATAAAGTGATGCCTTTCGGGCTAAAGAACGCAGGGGTAACCTATCAACAAGCTATGGTTACTTTGTTCCACGATATGATGCACAAAGAGATAGAAGTCTATGTGGATGATATGATTGCCAAATCACAAACTTAAGAAGAACATGTTCAAATTCTCAAGAAGTTGTTCCCGAGATTAAGGAAATATTAGTTAAAACTTAATCCAGCCAAGTGCACCTTTGGGGCCATTTTAGGGAAGTTGCTCGGGTTCGTGGTCAGTGAGAAAGAGATAGAAATAGATCCCGATAAAGTCAAGGCAATCCTAGAATTACCGCCCCCTAAAACACCAAAGGAGGTACGATGATTCTTAGGGAGGTTAAATTATATCGCCAGGTTCATATCTCAGTTAACGGAGAAATGTGATCCAATCTTCCGTTTGTTGAAGAAAAAGAATTCAGGAACCTGGGACAATAAATGCCAGTAAGGTTTTGACAAAATCAAACATTATTTATCCAATGTGTTCTAGCACAACATGATGAACAAGGAAAGAAAGAACGAGCCATTTACTATTTAAGTAAAAAGTTCAATGACTGCGAGACCCGATATTCTCACATCGAGAAGCTGTGTTGTGCCCTGGTTTGGACTACGAAAAGAATAAGGCAATATTTATTATACCACACCACATGGTTAATATCAAGCTTGGATTCTTTGAAGTACATGATGAAATCAGCAATCTTTAATGAGAGGATAGCGAGATGATAAATGTTATTAGCAGAATTCGACCTGGTATATGTGAGTCAAAAAGCTGTGAAAGGTAGTGTCATTGTAGATTTTTTGGCAAATAGGGCACTAGAAGACTATGAACCAGTAAAATTCGAATTCCCAAACGAGGACTTAATGACCATATATACAATAGAAGAAGAAGAAGCTCCAAAAGATGAAATATGGAAGATGAATTTAGATGGAGCATCAAATGTTGTCGGGCATGGAATTGGGGCAGTATTGGTGCCACCCGAAGGAGATCACCATCCTTTCACCAGTCGTCTCACTTTTGAATGTACAAACAACATGGTTGAGTATGAAGCTTGTATCATGGGGATCCGAGCTGCAATTGAACGCAAAATCAAAATCCTATAAGTATTCGGAGATTCAACCTTAGTTATCTATCAACTTCGTGGAGAATGGATGACTAGAGATTCCAAATTGGTAGAGTACAAGAATCTAGTCATGGATTTGATAAAAATATTTGAGAAGATTACTTTTAGTTATCTCCCGAGAGAAGAAAACTAGATGGCTGATGTTTTAGCCACACTAGCTTCAATGTTCAAAGTCAATGACCAAACTCGCATGATGCCCATCCGAACCGAATGAGCATAAGAGAAATACCGGCTCAATGTTGTAATATTGAAGAAGAGGATGAGGATGATGGTTTCCCTTGGTACTATGATATTCTTCAATATGTGAAATATCGAATTTATCCTGCTGATGCTACTGAAAATGACAAACGAACCCTAAGAAGATTAGCTATGGGGTATATCCTTGATGGAGATGTTTTGTATAAAAAATGAAAAGATCAGATACTACTTAGATGTGTAGACAAAGTTGAAGCCAATAAGATACTTGAAGAAGTCCACGAAGGAATTTGTGGGACACATACGAATGGTTTCACAATGGCTAAACAAATTATGAGGTTTGGTTATTACTGGTCAACAATGGAGGGGGATTGCATCAGCTTTGCATGCAAATGCCATAAAAGTCAAATCAATGGTGATAAAATACATGTTCCTCCTTCACCACTTCATGTAATGATCGTACCGTGGCCATTTTCAGTATGGGGCATAGATGTTATTGGGGAAATCTCACCAAAGGCTTCGAATGGGCATCGTTTCATCCTAGTAGCTATTGACTATTTCACCAAGTGGGTTGAAGCTGTCTCATATGCCAGTATCACAAAAGGAGTAGTGTGCAGATTCCTAAGAAGGGAAATTATTTGTAGATATGGAACCCCAGAGAGAATCATCACAGATAATGCTCTGAATCTGAACAACGACCTGATGAAGAAAATATGTGCGAAATTTAAGATCAAACATCATAATTCAGCTCCTTATCGCCCAAAAATGAATGGTGCAGTAGAAGCAACAAACAAAAACATCAAAAAGATTGTCACCCGAACGACCGAAACATATAGGGATTGGCATGAAAAACTACCTTTCGCCTTACTCACTTACCGTACATTAGTCTAAACATCAACGGGGGCAACACCATTCTCACTTATCTATGGGATGGAGGCAGTTTTT